TTCCATGTTTTTCCAATTGTAAATAAAGCAGCAATAAACATGGGGGTACAAGTATCTTTTTCAATCAGTGCTTTTGTGTCTTTTGGGTAGATACCTAGGAGTGGGATTGCACACCAGCAATATTTAAACACTGCCCTAATCAACGTGTGTTCGGGAAGTCTAACTCCCCGTCTATTGTGCCCTTCTTTGTTCTAGGCTACAGAGAGTGTTCAAGTCCAGAACCGTGAACACCATCAGTTGTTGCAGAGACGGTGAGGATGTGATCGGTGAAGGCAAGTCCCAACTAGTGTGCCCAAAGAAAGACATCTCTCCCGACCAGTCCAGTGCCCAGGAGACGCAGGGCATCCAGGAAGAAGATGCATCTGGCAGCCAGAAGATAGCTGCCACCAAAGCACAGAGAGGATCCAGTCGGGCTGTTTCTGTGCTGGCCTTGTCTGTGTCCACCATGGCCTGTAACGGCACATCCGTGGCGACTTTTGAATACCTGCTGCCGAATGGGACCCATGCGTCGGACTTCGGCTTGGTTACCCCGGCCGCTCCCCTCAGGATATCCTTGGCCATAGTCATGATGCTGATGATTGTGGTGGGATTCCTGGGCAACGCCGTTGTCTGCGTCATCGTGTATCAGAGGCCAGCCATGCGCTCTGCCATCAACCTACTGCTGGCCACGCTGGCCTTCTCGGACATCATGCTGTCCTTATGCTGCATGCCCTTTACCGCCGTCTCCCTGATCACGGTCCACTGGCACTTTGGGGATTACTTTTGCCGGCTTTCAGCCATGCTGTACTGGTTTTTTGTCCTGGAGGGCGTGGCCATCCTGCTCATCATCAGCGTGGACCGCTTCCTCATCATTGTCCAGCGTCAGGACAAACTGAATCCACGGAGGGCCAAGGTGATAATCGCCACCTCCTGGGCGCTGTCTTTCTGCGTCTCTGCACCCTCTCTTGCAGGCTGGACATTTGTGGAGGTGCCTGCCCGGGCCCCTCAGTGTGTGCTGGGCTACTCGGAGTTCCTGGCCAACCGTGCCTACGTCGTGACACTGGTGGTGGCTGTGTTCTTTGTGCCCTTCAGCGTCATGCTGTGCTCCTATCTCTGCATCCTGCACACGGTCCGGAAGAATGCCATCCGCGTCCACAGCCAGTGCGACAGCCTGGACCTGGGGCACCTCACCAGGGCGGGTTTGAGGCGGCTGCAGCGGCAACAGCAGGTCAGTATGGACTTGAGCTTCAAAACCAAGGCCTTCACCACCATCCTGATCCTCTTCGTGGGCTTCTCGCTCTGCTGGCTGCCTCACACAGTCTACAGCCTTCTGTCTGTGTTCAGCCGCAGGTTCTACTGCAGCTCCTCCTTCTATACCACCAGCTCCTGTGTCCTTTGGCTCAGCTACCTCAAGTCTGTCTTCAATCCCATCGTCTACTGCTGGAGAATCAAAAAATTCCGCGAGGCTTGCATAGAGTTGCTGCCCCAGACCTTCCAAATCCCTCCCAAAGTGCCTGAGCGGATCCGCAGAAGAATCCAGCCGAGCACTGTCTATGTGTGCAATGAAAACCAGTCTGCTGTTTAGGGGAGCCGGGCTCGTGGGCTGGCTCCAGAATGGGGCTCCTCTGTCCTTCTGGTGGGCCTCCGGGCACTTTAGTCCCGGTCAGCATTTTGTGGGGGCCATTTAAGCACAAAGGTATCATTTGTTGCCAGATGAGTTTTTGACTCCCAAATTTTCAGAACAAATTGTTTTTGTTTCTCACTGGAGAGTAGTATGTGGGTCTAATGGACTCAAGAAGGTAGTTAAGTCAGAGTGGGAATGGGCAGAGGGTTTAGAAGTTGGACAGAAAAGCAGAGCAGAGAGAGGAGCCCGTCAGAGCAAGACTGGATGAGCATGGGGCCAGAGGAAGTCTCTGTCTCAAGTCTCCTCTCCACATGCTTACGAAAAACCTTACGGTGCCAAATTCTCATGTGAGAAACCTGAGTAGGTCTCTTTTTATGGGTCATTGTGCATTTTATTTGACACCAACATTCTTAGGGGTAATTGTGTTTGTGGCCTATGGGGAACACACAAGGTTCTTAATGTCAGTCAGAAGCATATTTCTGATCAGACAGACTCATCTTTTTTGCAAACCAAAACCCTGCCGGCAGGCAGAGTCCCCGGTGCCCCTCAGTTCCTGGTGTGATGCACAGGCGGTTCAGTGGTTGGAAGCCAACAATGTTCAGGGGAATCCTGGGGGCGGAGAGGAAGCCCGCCTAAGCCCCTGAGCACTCAGGCATGTTGCCACAACCCTCCTACCAGGCTGGGCCCACCGCACCTCCGTGCCCTGAAGCCTCCCCGTAGCCTTCCTTGTCTGGCCCTCAGCCCTTTTCCCTCTCCCTCCACCACTCCTTGTGGAGCTTTGTTCTCCTTCCCTGTTCTGTGGGAAAAGCACACTGCTTCTCTGCAAGCAACTCATTGTTCCTGCGCATTTCAAGCCACTTGTTTTCCATTTCAGATGTGGTTAGTGGGCTTTGTTTACATGTTTCCTCTGGCACCCTGAGGCTGCAGCCTCTGAGAGCTACTGCCCGGTGGACTTCAGCTGGGCCAGCAGCAGAGGCTGTGAGGACCACTGGAGCCACTGGCAGCTCCCCTCAGACCTCTCTGCTCCTCCTACCTCATTCTAATCGAAGGAACCTGGCGGCTGCCATCTGGGCCACCTCGGGGAGAGCTTGGTCCTCAAACCCAGGCTGCCCAGTGGCGAACTTTCCTTTTCATTTTTTAGAATCAACATTTTATTTTATTAATTATATTATTTTTTTATTGAGGCAACGTTGGTTTACAACACTCTCTGATTCAGAGGTCTAAGAACACCTTTCTTCAAATGTGCGTGACTACATCCCTCACCAAAGCGCCCGTAACCCTGTATCACACTCCATGGGCCCCCACCCCAGATTTCCAGGGAGGGGAACCTTTCTGTTTGTGCTGTGTACTCTGCCCTCCGCACACAGAACCTCCCGTGTTGGGAGTTTTGGGCACACCACTGACACTGTGGTGCTCTCTTCTCAGTTTCTGATCCTGAGGGAGCAGGAGATGTAAGGAGAAATCTGGAAAACCTGATACCAAGTCACTGACTATGTTCATGTTACCTTATTTTCTGGGCTTCAGTTTCCTCTGAACCGAGTCAGGAGTTTAGAGGACCTCCAGCATGCCTTGATGTCTCCACCACTCGGGCTCTAAATGGTGCAGTAGTCCTCTTGTGCTTGCCAGACCTCCTGCACCCATGTAGTTCTCTGAGAACGAGCACTTACTAAGTGCTTACTACACGCAAGGCACTGTGTGCTGGAGTGATGAACAAAGCTTAGGCTGTCGCCAGAGGCAGCTCTCCAGTTTATGTCAGGCTGATCGTGACTAGATTTTGGCACAAGAGCACAGATCTCCCTTTTGTTTCTCCTCTTTTTCTCTTCAAGGTTGTATGAAGAGGCCACCCCCTTCTCTCATGCTCTTCTTCCTGTGCTAAAAGTGATGGAGCCAGGGAAGGAAGCAGGACCAAGAGAGGAATAGTTTACATTAATGTAAGCCTAGTGGGAGGATCAGGCAGAAAAATAACTAACATTTTTTTCTCACCAAATCCATCCTCCCTTTACTCCCAGGTGAGGGGTGGGAGGTAAAAAGAATGAGGAGGAGGAGGAGGAGAATGGGCAACTGATTTGCAATTGGTTGAGGAGGATCCCATTAATTCTGCATCCCAAGTGACCCCAGAAAGGCTGGGGTTTGCCCTCAGGTCCCAGAGGACTGTCACACCACAGACCCCAAAAAGCACCAGGCTTCTAGGTGTCTCCTCTCAGGGGGGCACTTGGAGAGTGTTCTTTAGGAGTCTTGAGCAAATCAGAAATCCCAAACCAAATGAAAGTACCAAAATGTACACCAATCAGTGTTATATGCTGTATGTTGAACAGTAATATTTATGTTTCTAATAATTTTGTATATATTTTAAATAAAGTATTATTGCTCTTTCGGTGTATAAGACTATGTTCTTGCCAAAATTAGCACGAAGGCCATGAAAAGTAAACCAAGAATCGGGTATCTAAAACCCCTAAGGAACAACTTCAGGACATCTAGAACCAAGCTGGAATGACCATAAAGGAAAATAACATTAAGAAGTCACCCAGGGAATATTTAAGCAATGGACTCAGACGAGGTGGGTGGCACATTCTCTAAAATCACAACCCTGCCAAGTAATTCCAGCCAGTTAGTCTTCATCTGTGACTTCAGATTGTCACCTCCCTAAGTCTCTCTGGCCTCATGAGCTCTCAAGGCACTTGACTTTCCTAAGCTATTGTGTAAATATTGAGTTTTATTTCCTTCCCTGAGGTTTGTAGGGTTTTGCTTGTTTGTTTTTTTTCATCTTTAACCTCAGATACAACCAAACCTGGTACACCTGAATTATTTCTTGAGACCTTGGGTGGCAACTTTGGCCATAACTGTCCTAGAGGGAGAAGCCCAGACGCATTGGAAGCCTCAGAAAATGAGACACAAGTAAATCACTGAAGTGTCTTTCTAATTATGCTTCTCCTAAAATCTACTGCCTTTTCATCTTGAATCTTGGCCCCTGCTGTTGAGGTGAAATAAAAGTTTGCTACTCCCAGTACCCCCGTGCTTACCCCACACATGGCTCACAGGACCTGCTTCCTAGGGACTACAAATCCAGTTACATTACGTGTGTCCGAAGTTGGTTGCCCGGACCCCTTTGTGCAGGCGGTCAGGGTCCCAGCTCCCAAGCCTTTGAAGTTGTAGGATACCCAGCATCAGGCTTTTGGCCTTATGGAAATGCACAAGCAGTGAGAGGAAAAGCCAAGTGCTCAGCAGTCAGCCTAGACTCCAGGGAGGTCTTGTAATCGATCAAAATGTGATTTGGGCCAACAAGATGCATGACTTAGAAAAAGAAATCCTAACACAAATTCTGAAGTCCTAGGTACAAATTTCACAAATGACCTTTTTGTTCATAAGTGGGCACATTTTTAACAAATCAACTCAAGATGGTTGCCACTTTACCTATTATTGCCTTCAGCATATGAGAATCCACAACCACATATAGAAACCGTCCACATTTATGCTTGTATGAGGGAGATAAAGTTACCACATTTAATCTTTTTGACACAAAGAATGGAGATATGAATGCTAAACTATGTGAAATTTTGCAGCCACAAAGAATGAGTTTGCCAAAATAAGAAAAATGACTAATTAAATCTTATTCATTAACATTGAATGAGACTGTACTGAGGAATTTGATTATGATAAAGGAAAGAGTATCATTTCCAAGGTGACTTCTGGCTGCCAATGGCAAGGGTAGGCACCACGGAGCGTGGGAAGGGACCCAGCCAGGTTGTGGCAATTTTACTCCTTCAGGAAAGGGAGATTCCCTTGCTGGGAGGTTAGCATCTGGATTCTGTAAGAATAAAAGGATGTTTGAGAGTATAAGCACTGTGTGTGAGTGTGTACTCACATGTGAATTATTTGGGGCAGGAGTCCAGGGTTACTTTAGAAGCCAATTCCAGTTTACCTTCTATTCTCTCATCTTTGATCCTAGACAAGCCAGGGACAAGGTGTTCCAAGGACCAGAATGGTGCCAGAACTTGCCAAAATCGGGGCAAAAGGGCAGGCTGTTACAGTGATAGATTTTTCCTAGTTTGCCTGATGAGAATAGAAAGAAATTCTCTGAGAAACTTAGATGCAACCTGCTGAACTTTCCCTTCAGCAACTGAAAATCTAAGGCAAGCTCAGTCTGCTGAAATGTTCAGGTGAACAGCTGAGGCTCTCCACGGCCTGGGTGATAGGAACAAATTCCTTCACTGAACCTGCATGTTCCAACCTTTCAGTCTGTGCTTTCTTCTGCTGCTCTGGCATCTGCCGTCCCTTTGCTAACCATTCCAAGCAGGAAAAACATAACAATGATCGTTTTTAAAAGTCGGGTTTGCTGCTTCTTATTAACTGTCTTTTGAAACTATTTCTTGTTTCCTCCCTCATTGAAATGCTGCCACCATATTCTTTCACTAAATATTTTGCTGTAGCATCATGAAGAATTGCACTAAACCATGAATGTCAGCATACAGGACACACAAATCAATAAATTTAGACATGCATTTGGAAAAATGGAAAGTTTAATTTACTTTCAAAGCATGAACAGAGTTCAAGAAAACAGGCGGCCCTTTCTCCCCAAGGCTCCCATTTTCTCCGGAATTTTGGAGGCCTCTGGAGCATTTGTGAGGCCTCAGAAAATGTGTCCCCCTTATAGGGAGTGCTGGGGCTGCTGAAATGATCCACTATAGATCTGAAGCTGAGGCTGCTCTTCCCGACTCAGATCCTTGCTCCTGGTAGCTTCTGGCTGAAATAATTATTTGTGGCAATTACAAGCCACGTTGAGTCACTGGGTCTCCAGACCTCAGAACACTGCAGAAGGCAGTTCTGCTCAGGCAGCGGTCCTTTCTAACCCTATGCTATTCTGAGACACTAGAGTCCACGAACACCGTTCTTTATATCTACTAGGTTCTGGTTATTCTTTTAATCTACTTTTTCCCCCTTCACAACATCTACAACACTTGTTT